AATCCTCGCGCACACGCTGGCCTCCCCGACCGCGAGGGAACGGTACTTCGTCGGGAACAACTCAGCCGTGAAGAGCCAGATCAGGTGGAAGGCGGCGGTGATGGCCATCTTGCCGCAGAGGGAGAAGAACATTGTCACTCCCACGGGCACTGAGTAGGGTGGAGAAAGGGTAAAAAGAAAGGGGGAGTGAGGATCGGTTTGGGAGGATGTGGTGGGGCGTTCATCTTTTGAAAAAACGGTGAACCTCTTCTTGATTTTGGTGTGTGATAGGTCGTTGGTTTTAAAAATGTGGATATTAGTTATATTCTTTGGGTAATGGGGTATTTATTTTTCATTATTTAGGGAAGGAAGTAACGATTTTGTTTTTCTCTTGTTCTCAATTTAGTCAGATCAATTGACGAGAAAGAAGAAAACAAACGCACACACACACACCTTACACCATAGTACATGCACCTTACACCCTCACAGACCTTACATTCTCTCTCTCTCTCTCTCTTCTCCTCTCTCTCCTCGTCTCTCTCTCTCTCTCTCTCTCTCTCTCTCTCTCTTCTCTCTCCTCTCACCTTACACCCTTCCACACACACACAAAACACTCCAACACCTTCCAAACACAAACCCACCTGTCGGGACATAGAGCATAAGGAACATCACGACGATAATGGAAGCGCCGCACACGAAGTACAGGATGGCTAAGGACTTGACTCTCCCGAGGAACTTGATAGCGGGCCACAATAAGATGTATGAGGGCACCTCCATGAGTCCTCCTAAGAAGAGGTATATGTAGGGATCCGCGCTGTTGGGGAAACGAGAGTAGAAGGTAGGATGAAGGACGCATACTGAGGAAGAAATTAATGGTGAAAGAGGAATGAGGAGGTGGGAAAGATGATGATTATTATTGATGTATATTGAGAGAGGGAGATGAAAAGGAAACGAGAGATGGTGTGAAATGGAATGAGATATAGATATAGATGGGTAGTCTGAGAGATAGATGTATATAGAGACAGCGAAAGAGGGGGGTAGAGCATGTATGTGTTTGTATGAGAGAGAGAGAGAGAGAGAGAGAGAGAGAGAGAGAGAGAGAGAGAAGAGAGAGAGAGAGAGAGAGAGAGAGAGAGAGAGAGAGAGAGAGAATGAGAATGTGTGTATGCGAGAGAGAGAAAATCCGTCAACTTACTTTTACCCTCCCCCCCCCACACTCAAATATAAACACATTCACACCTTAAAACCGCCGTACAAACTCACATTCACACCTTATACCCTTCCCACCCCATATACACACACACATGCACATTTCACATTTTAACACACACAAGCACACATCCCGTCCCATCTCCCCCTCCCAACCAACAAACCACCCCGTCCTTTCTCTACTCTCTATCACCAACCAAACCCCCCCCCCACCCTCCCAAACCCATTCAATACCTAAGGTTCGTAGCATTCAGAGCCACCCCGTAGTAGACCATTGAGGCGGCGAACCAGCAGAAGAAGGCGATGAGAGCTCTAAGACGTAAGCTTGGCGTCGTCAGGAGGATGACAAATGTCTTCGCTACGTTGAGAGCTCGTTGGGGTATGGTTTCTTTCGCCTTTTCTTGGTTTTCTTTGTTCGTGTCCTGGAATTATGATGTTTTAATGAGGGTGGCTTAGTATAAGGAAAATGGTGAGGGTAGTGAAGAACTATGGTGTACGAGTATGATAGTATAACTATCATTGGTACTACTACTACTTCTATTGATATTAATATTGAAGATTGTACTAATATTAATGATTACGATGGTAACACTAACAATACTGATAGTATCGAGAAAAACAAAATTAGATATTTCTCAATAAAGACGCGACAAATGAAGGAAAAGAACTCAGTCATAATAAAACCAAAACACATTCGTCAATAACAAAGACAATAAAAATATTGACTAACTATTCCACCAACAACAGGACCAAAAACAGCCATAAAAAATCTAAAATAAACCCAAATGGCCCAGTTTAGTCCCGGACAACCACTTTACCGAGTTTGCGATCCTTCCCATAGCGGCGATGACTTGCTGGTCGCTCGGGAGGGTCCTGTCGTTGAGTCTCGCCGCCTTCTGCAGGATTTCGAGGGCCTCCTTGTGTCGCCCTTTGAGGATGAGCCAGCGAGGAGACTCCGGGAGCAAGCTGGGAGATGGAGGATCGGAGGGTTGGTGAGAGGGATAGAAGACAAGGAAGAGAAGGAAGAAAGGGAAGGGAAAGAGGTGATAAGGAAGAGGAGGAGGAAGAAGTGAAGGCTGAAAGGATGATGAGAAAGAGAAGGGGATAGTGATGGGGGAAGAAGTAAAATGAAACGAAGGTGAAGATGAGGATAGTGTAGGAAAAGAAGAAAAATAAAAAGGTAAAGAAAATGAGGAGGAAAAAAGGGAATGGTAGAAAAATTGAGGGAAAAGAAAAGAAAGGATGATGGGGAAGAAGAAAATTGAAAAGAAGGTAACGAAGATAAATAAAAACGATTAAAAAGAACAAAATATGATGGTGAGCAGGAAGAAGAAAGAGAGAAAAAAATGAAAAGGTAAAAATATGAAGGAGAAAAACAAATTTTGAGAGAAAATTATTTGAACAAGAAAAGTACTAATCAAAGTCTGATAATGTCTGATTTGTATGCGAAAATATCCACAAAGAGTGAAAAACAATGCCTCATTCAATATACTTGTTATAATATTCTAAGTACAATGCTCCGTATGCCATTGACAAAGAGACATAGTAATAATGGTAATAATGATAATGATAATAATGATAATGTTGAGAATAACAACAGCAACGACAACAAAGATAATCATAATGATGACAATAACAGTAACAATGATACCAATAAAAACAAAACAGAAAAACTCACAAATAGTAAACAATTAGCAGGAGGGCAGGCGTTGTGAGGGCAGCCTGCAGCGGTTTCCAGTCCCGAATTAGGTACGCTATGCCAGGCACCACCATGTAACCCAAGGCCCAGGGAAGCACAAGCAGAGGGCCGACGTAATCCCTCTGTTTGGCTGAACACGCTTCCATAGCTAAGGGAAGGGAATTAAATACATTATATATATATATATATATATATATATATATATATATATATATATATATATATATGTATATATATAAAGTGAATTATGTAAATTGAATTATAAGTATATCATATAAAAGATCAATTAAACAATAAGTATATCAAATGGATATATAGATTAGGTAAATCCTACGTTAATTAAATGAATGCATAGATCGATTAATCTATGCATGAAACAAATTCGTAGATCTGTATATTATAAAAATTCATACATTTGATGAATCTATACATTAAACAAATCCATATATTAAGTAAATTTGCATAATCTGTAGATTATGTAAATTCAAACATCTGATACATCTATACATTAAATAATCCCATATATCATGTAAATCAGTACATTAGAAAAAACCCGTGCATCAAATAAATCCACTTTTAAAAAAATAAAAATCCATACATTGTATAAATCCATACATGAAATAATCCATACATTCAATGTCTATACCTTGAATAAATCATGCATCTAATAAATCCATACATGGAATAATCCATACATTAAATACGCATATACCTTAAATAAATCCATACACCTAATAAATCCAAACAATAGATAAATCCATATATTATATAAATCCATGCATTGTATAAAACCATGCAGTAAATAAATCCATACATGAAATAAATCTATACAATGAATAAATCCAAATATTATCCATATACTCTGATTCATTTGTATTGCTTTTGATAATATAAAGCTCATGATTTAATGGAGGTCGATATACTGAAGCCACCACTAGTGTTAGCACCTCGAGTTGAATAAAGATAATTTACTCGTTAAGCGATTTAGCACCTAAACGAGACTAATTTTCAATGCAATTAGAGATTCGAACGTTCAACATTTGTTTGCATTCACTAACCTGAAATGAAACAACCCAGGTACACGCCAGACATCATGCAGGAAATAATGATTTTGATGAAGATGTAGAATTCAACGTTGGGAGACGCCGCAGCCAAGAACCCCGATATAATAGACAACGCTGAACAGCCGAGGGTCACTGGGCGCCGGCCGAAGCTGCGGGGGAGAAGGGGCGTCAGGCCAGTCTGTGGAGTTTGGTCACATTCTGTCCGCGCAAATTTAGTTCTCGGGTAATTTCCAGTGCATGCTTAGTTTTTTTCTTTTTCTTTCTTTTTTTTTCATGATCATCCGCGCATATATATATTTTTTTTTCATGATCATCCGCGCATAAAATTCTTTTGACCTTTCCGCGCACTTGTATCATCATCCGTCCGCAGATCCGTCCGCGCAAATGGAGACAAAATTATGCTTTCCGCGCAAGAAATATACTCTTCAGTCTGGGCGTCAGATAGGTAGGATTTGATGCCGATGAAGAGGTAAACAACTTTGTAAATGATGAATAGGTAAATGTCTTTGTAAATCATAAAAGTCATATACGTCTTTGTAAGAAATAAACAGATCCCGTCAAAACAAACCCTGACCCTCCAGCCCTCTAACTATGAATCAGACGAAAAAATCAGCCCTCAATCACCTCCAACCACAGTCAAGGCAAAAAAAAAAAAAAAAAAACACATCAACCACACTCTTATTCATTTATTCATTTATCTATTTATTTACTCCCCCAAGTACCAACGACGGAATGAAACTCACGTGTCCAGGAGGTAGCCGAGGAACACGTAGCCGACAAGTTTCCCCGCCTGCGCCGCCGCCTGTGTTGTCGAGTACAGCACGCGGCGTTCGCATACCAGGTCCCACTGGGTGTTCAAGCGTGGGATTAGTAGGAGGATAAAAAAAAAAAAAAAAAATGGATGTTAATTGAGGGAAGTGGAGGAAGTGGGGGGGAGGGAGGGAAAGAGAGGCAGGGGAAGGGGTAGGGGTGGGTAAGGGGATGGCAAAGGAGAAGATGGGAAGAAAGGGGGAGGGGAAGGGGTAGGATGGGGTAAGGAGATGGGAAAGGAGATGGGGGAACAGGAAGGGGAGAGGAAAATGAAGGGGAAGGGGAGGAGCGGGGGTGGAAATTGATATGAGGAAGGGGGACGTGAAAGGTAAAAGTAAGGGGAAGGGGATGGGATGGGGAAGATTTGGGTATGGGTGAGGGAGAAGGGAATGGGTAGGGGGAGGGGAAAGAGATAGAGAAATTGTAGAAAAAGAAAGATTAAAAAAAGAAAAAGTAAAGGAAAATTATAAAGGGAAAAAGAAAAGAAAAATAATTTCAGGATATAAGATAATAGCCTTAATTAGTTATGCTCTGCTGAATGTTTAGGAGCAATTGAAATTATGCAGGTGACAATTATCATGCCACTGGTAATAAGATAATGGAAAAAATGATAGCTATAGAGATGACCGTAATAATGACAATATAAAGAATGAGAATGGTAATACTGTTTATAATGCCGATTACGCTACTGATGATAGTAGTGTTAACAAAAATAATTTTAATAACTATAATTCTATCAGATTTCACAGTCACATGTAGAATCAACAAAATAGAAAATTATGTTGGGGGGGGGGGGGGGGGAGGGGGTTATTACCTCCGTTGTAACAGTCGACCGGTACTGAGTGGCGTTGAAGTCTCTGGAGGAACAGGAAACCACTTCTCCCTGGTCGAAATTTTGAGGGTTATTTTGAGCCCACTCGAATCCCCGTTCAAGGGCGCTGCTGAAGTTACTGTTGTACATCAAGCAGTGTTCTGGCTTCCCGGTGTTATTGCTGTGAAGTGAGGGATAGTTGTGGATGCGGAGTATGAGGAGAGAGGGGGAATAAGGTAGAGAATGATGGGTGTTCGTTTGGTGATTTTTTTTCCTTTTCGTTTTGGATAAAGCTTGGGATAAGGGAGTACCTTCTGGCTATCAAACATACTTATACAAAACTACCCACACTTCCCAGAAGAGTCAAAACAACTAAAAACTCGTACCTAATACAGTCCTTCTTACCTGGATCCTTCCCAACGACCTTAACCACTATAGACAACTTTCCTTACTTGACGGGTATGGCGATGCTCAGAATCTGATCCTCGGTCCATCCGGCACTAACGAGAGACTCTACGTGGCACCAGTGATCAGGCGTGGCACCGAGGAACTGGTAGGACAAAGTCTGCATTGGTGACACGAACGTAGCTGGGGAGAAGAAAGAGTTATGAGTAGACAGAAGAGGATCGTTAGAAGAGGATTTTTCATGCGTTGGTTTGTACTTACGTATCCCGTTGGCGAGTAGAGTTAGAGAGAGAGGGAGAGAGAGAGAGGGAGAGAGAGGGAGAGAGAGAGAGAGAGAGAGAGAGAGAGAGAGAGAGAGAGAGACAGAGAAGAGAGAGAGAGAGAGAGGAGAGAGAGAGAGAGAGAGAGCGAGAGAGAGAGAGAATGGTGGAGAAAATGATCGAGAGAGAGAAAGAGAATGATGGAGAAAATAATCGAGAGAGAGAGAGATAGAGATGATGGAGAAAATGAGAGAGAGAGAGAAGAGAGAGAGAGAGAGAGAGAGAGAGAGAGAGAAGAGAGAGAGAGAGAGAGAGAGAGAGAGAGAGAGAGAGAGAATGATGGAGAAAATGAGAGAGAGAAGAGAGAGAGAGAGAGAGAGAGAGAGAGGAGAGAGAGAGAGAGAGAGAGAGAGAGAGAGAGAGAGAGAGAGAGAGAGAGAGAATGATGGAGAAAATAATCGAGAGAGAGAGAGAGAATGATGGGAAAATGAGAGAGAGAGAGAGAGAGAGAGAGAGAGAGGAGAGAGAGAGAGAGAGAGAGGAGAGAGAGAGAGAGAGAGAGAGGAGAGAGAGAGAGAGAGAGATAGAGAAGAGAGAGAGGGGGGGGGGGTAGGGAGAGAATGATTGAGAAAATGACCGTGAGAGAGAGAGAAAATGATTGCGAAAGAGAGGGACATATTTGTGGAGAAAAAAAATGTGAAAAATATTGAAACAGATACAAAGAAAAAAATACGCAATGACACAACAAGGCCAAAGCACAGGCACAAAGCAGCGTACAATACTACTACCACCATTACTATTGCTACTCTCAATGCTATTACTGCTGCTACTATCACTACTACTACAGCTATTGCTACTAAAATTACTAATACCATTACTGCCACTACTATCCCTAGTACCACTACTACTGTGACTATTATCATCATCATTAATAATACATTACTATTACTACAACTATAGCTATTACAACTACAATTCCTTCTACTACAACTATTATCACCATTACTAATACAACTATTAACACTAGTACGACTGCACCTTCAACCACAACTACAACAACTAGAAATAAACCTACCACAACTACTACACCAACAACTACCACACCAACTACCACCGCTACCATTGCTTCTGAGACTCACAATAGGCACACAGGGTGAAGAGGATGATGTTCCAGCGGCCTCGAGTCCCCACCAGGTGAAGGAGGTCCTCAAACTTCTTCACTTCCTCCACACTCTTGGCGTCCTCCTTGGCCTCCGCCGTCATCTGGAAGGGAGTTGGGGAAGGGGTTGGTTAATGATCATTATCATATCTATAATTGTTATTATTATTATCATTATTTTTATTATTGTTATTATTATTGTCATTATTACAATCATTATTATCTTGTTTCAATGATTATCATTATCAATACCAAACCACAAAAACCACTGATCACAAACGCAAACAAACCACACCACCATCCATGCATACAAAAAAAGACAAGAAGGATCCTCCTGCCCCCGAAGCTCGTCGTCGTAGATTGGATGACACCATTCTTGACGACGACAGTAGCGACTCCGACATCGATGTCGAGAGCGTTCTCGAGGCCGGGCTTGGGCTCTCGGCTGGAGCCATGCTCCCTGCCAGGGGACCCCTGGGACAGCGCGGAAGCATCGGGAATTGGTCCGCCGATTCCCAGGATTTCCGCGTCGGTTCACAGGACTCCCTGCCTGACCTCGAGGAGCCGTCGATCGTGCATCGATCGCAGAGCCGCTACAGGGCTCAGGTTACGCCACGCAAGGTACACCCAGGTAGAATGGGTGTACCTTGAGTGTCTAACTGACGACCGACCGAGCCGACGCGGGTTCTTCCACCTCGGTGGAGGACCCCGTGTTGGCTAGGTCGATCTAGACGCGCAATCCCACGCACGAGCTGCATCTAAACAAAACAAAAACTCTCTCCTTCACACACAAACATTCTACTTTCACTAACAACAAACAACTCCAGCTTATTCTGATGGAATAAAGCACTCAGACGGTTCCCTGTAGTGGGTCGTGACCGATCTATTACACGTCTGAACTCCGCGAGGAAGCCTCTCGTTTCCTCCTTAACATCCTGTGGGGTGAGTTGGCCTGTAGACAGACCAACAAACTCCGTGCTTGACTCACCACTGGCTGGATGGACTCACCCTCCATCCTTCTTTCCGGCTGAAGATCAGGTTTAGGCCGTGATCTCTTTCTTTGGCATGGGACAGGAAATTCAGTCTTCGGGTTTTGCCGCATCACTTTGAAGCCACCTTCTACTCATTCCTTTCAAATTTCCCCTTCCCCTATCAGTTTTTCGTGTTCTCTTTCTGTCTGCTTAGTTTTGTTGTCCTGTACCTTTTTAATCTCACTAATAAAGTAATCTCCCCCAGGTACTGCCCTCTCTTATCCCCGTTTTTAAATACCTTCACCTCGTCTCCTGACGCTTGTGACACCACCTCACCCCTCACCCTCACTCATACCATATCCCTGCCATGGCGTTGACCCTCATCCTTATCCTTACCCTGACATCCCACTGGTTTCGGTTTCCGACACGTGGCGCTTGCTGCTAGTACTCGTGCCAGGACCACAAATCCTTTACCGTAAGGGTTTGTGCGAGCCGAGGAAAGAAGCGTTACGGCCAGTGGAGTTAACCCAATCGTGGTGAGGCCGCCCGAGCCGCGCCCCTCCGGAAGACCTGCGGCCGAGGGAGAGAAATCTCCTCTCGACCCGGGCGGGAATGGCCAGCCTCTGTGCGGCCTCACTCGAGCTTCATCCTGCTTCAGCGGTGATGGTTAGCCGAGGGACAGCTCTGGAGCCACGGTCGAGAGGCCGTGGCTCCGAGCATACCGCAGATGGCGCCCTCAGTTAGCCGAGAGGCTCCGTGTTCGCCATAGCGAGGCTCCATTGTGGTGAGGCGAGCCGCGCTCAAGGTCGTGGGGTATTCCCCGCGCCACGAGTCGCGGCCTTGCCCCACCGCACGATCTCGCGAGGTACGGCCGCGCGGTGAACACGCGAGTCTGCCGATGGCGCTGGGCCCCTCGATCCTTTTCCTCTTTCAAAAAACCCACTCCAACTATTACCCCAAGTTTACCCCGCAGGCTGGGTGAAGCCCCGGCTCCTTCTTCTTCTCCTGAAATTCTTTTCCTCCTCCTTATCCTTCCCCTATCCCCACTCTTCCTTCCCCCCCTCTTCTTTACATTTTAGTCATTTTTAGGCGGAATCATCATTCGCTACACGACTGCTGACCTGACATTACTTGTGCTTGGCTCAAGAACAATAAAGAGATAAAATCCAGTTTGGTTTCTTAACCTCTACACTGGTGACCCTCGGAGTGAACCAAGTTTTTACACAAGATGTCAGCAACACACAGGACGCTACCAGTCTGCTCTCTGGCCAGCCTGCCGGAATGGTTTTTTCAAGTGGAGCAGGAATTCCTCCTCAGGAACATCACCACCCAGACAAAATTCCGCCTGCTGGTCACTAACCTCCCGCCAGAACTTCTGACCGTCGGCGACCTCCTGAATGATCATCGGTGCGCCACTTACGACGAGCTTAAGGAGGCCATTCTTAGGCGAGCAGCACCTAACCCTCTGACCGCGTTAAGCTCCTTCCTCTCGTCTGACGCCGCGGACAGCCGTACTCCCACAGAAATCCTTCACCACTTCCAGCGCCTCCTCACCCGCACCGGCACGACGCTCCCACCAGACGTCATGCGCTCTCTCTTCCTCAAGCGGCTGCCCGCTGATATCCAGCAAATCCTGCTGGTGTCAGATGCCCCATTGGAGCACCTTGCCCTAAAAGCCGACGCGATGCTCGCAGCTAGGGCACCCACACCGTCAAAAGCGACAGTGTCTGCCACAACCACCACCTCCGCCGTGACGTTGGGATCCCTTGCAGCTCACGTCGCCACACTATCCGAGGCTGTGCAGAAGATTACACAGGAACGCTCTCGCTCCCGGCCTCGCTGTCGCACCCCTTCGCCGCCACACAGTGACCGGGACTTCAGGCGCTCTCTACCGCCTAACCGCCAGCCTCGCTTCCGCGCTCCTGCACCGCCGCTCAAAGATTGGAGGGTACCGCGGAAACTGGGCGCGCCTGTCTTTCGCGGACCTCGGAGGCGTTTATTGTACGTCCGAGATGCCTCCTCCTCCCTACGTTTCCTCGTCGACACAGGGGCCGAGGTCAGCCTCCTCCCGGCCTCCCACAGAGATAAACGCTTCCCCTCCTCCCGCACTCTGGAAGCTGCCAACACATCGCCCATCAACACTTACGGCGAGCGTTCGAGGACCCTCTCGCTGGAAGGCGAGCCCGCCCAACGATTCCAGTGGATCTTCCTCGTCGCCGACGTCCCTCAACCCATCATCGGCGCCGACTTCTTGGCGCACTACGGTCTGACGGTTGATCTTCAAGGTATGGCCCTGATCCACCGAACCGGGGCCCGCACGCACGCTGCTCCGGCTCTGGTAAGTACCCCCCTAATATATACAGTGCTTCCCAGGACCTGCGCCTTCAAGAACATCCTGCGGGAATTCCCGGCCTTGACCAAGCCGATCAACCGGGCCACCCAACCACGGCACGAAGTCCGGCACCACATCGTCACCCACGGTCCCCCTGCCCACTCTCGCTGCCGTCCGCTCGCCCCCGACAGATGTCGCAGTGCCAGGCGGAGTTCGACCATATGATGCAGTTGGGGATTATACGCCCTTCCAGCAGTCAATGGGCGGCCCCTCTGCATCTGGTGAAGAAGGATGGTGACTGGCGCCCGTGCGGTGATTACCGTCACCTCAACACGATCACCGCCCCCGACAGATACCCCTGCCGCACCTGCACTCCTTCTCCCACGAGCTGTCTGGCTGTACGTTTTTTCCAGGATCGACCTCGTGCGGGCCTTCCACCAAATCCCGATCGCTGAAGAGGACATCCCCAAGACGGCCGTGATCACACCTTTCGGCCTCTTTGAATTCCTCAGGATGCCCTTCGGTCTTCGGAACGCCGCCCAGACCTTCCAGCGATTAAACGACGTGACTCGCGGCCTTGAGGGCGTCTTCGCCTACATCGACGACATCCTCGTCGCCAGCATCTCAGAAGCAGACCACGCCCGCCATCTCCGCGCCCTCTTCGGCAGACTGCAAGACGCGGGCGTCGTTATCAACCCGGGAAAATGCCAGTTCGGTGTCGCTTCCCTCTCTTTCCTCGGCCACACCGTCACCCCCAAGGCATCACCCCAGCGCAGGAGAAGGTCACCGCTATAAGGAAGTTCCCCAGGCCAGCGACGGAGAAGCAGCTGCGGAAATTCCTGGGCATGTTTAACTTCTACAGAAGGTTCGTCCCCGGGTGTGCCCAGCTCCTCAAGCCCCTCCACGCCCTGATCACACCTAACAGGGCCAGCAGAAACACCAGAATCGAGTGGACATCCCCGACTAACGAAGCCTTCCAAGCCTGCAAAGAAGCCCTTGCCGCTGCCACCCTGCTTAACCATCCGCTGCCCGAGGCTCCCCTCAGCATAGCGGTCGACGCCTCCGACACTGCCATCGGTGCGGTCCTCCAGCAACGCCAGGGTAAGCAATGGCAACCCCTTGCCTTCTTTTCGCAGACCCTGTCGCCACGCCAGTCACGGTACAGTGCCTTCGGAAGGGAGCTCCTGGCAGCATACTCCGCGGTGAGGCATTTCCAGCCGTCTGTGGAGGCTAAGGAATTCCACATCCTGACGGACCACAAACCCCTCACCTTCGCCTTACACTCGAGGACCCGCCGCCAATCCCTTCGCGAGGAGCGCCACCTGGACTTCATTTCCCAGTTCACGACGGACATCCGCCACATTCGGGGCTCGGACAATGAGGCCGCCGATGCTCTGTCGAGGGTGACCATATCTGCTGCGACTCTCGCCGACGACGCAGTGGACTACCATCTAGTAAGCAGAGAGCAACGCCAGGACACGTCCTTGACTCCACTCCTAGAGGGCCAGACTTCCCTCTACCTTGAGAGAGTCAAAATCCCGAACTCCTGCGACGACCTTCTCTGCGATGTCTCCCTCGGCTACCCTCGCCCATACATCCCGCCTTCCCTCCGCCGGCGATTCTTCGATGCCTACCACCAGCATCGCGGCATCCGGGCCACCCAACACCTCATCCGCAGCAAGGTCGTCTGGCCCGCCATCAACAAGGACGTTCGGCAGTGGTGTCGTTCCTGTATCGAATGCCAAAGAAACAAGATCCACAGGCACACCAAATCCCCCCTCCAGACCTTTCCTATTCCAGA